TTTCGCCGGCTCTCCAGTATTACGCAGCAGCTGCACGCACTGCTCTCGTCCGTACCTTAACTGGTGGTTGCGCCTTGCCTTCAACAGTGTCCAGCAGGGCTCCATAGACGTCGTCTGCTAAAGCAGAGGGTTTCCTGTTCCCTTCGGAATATTCACGATCTTAATGGACCACAGACCTATCCCACAATAACGTTTGTAATGCTAAAACCATAGCGGCTAAAACAATAAATCTCATGTTGAATCAATGCAGTCATTAGCGTACTACATTCGAAGTACAACTCAAAAAAAACTGCCGCAAATATTTCAGCTATGAATAAAAGTCATGAATTATGAAAGGCCGGCACGGGCTTCCTACGGGATAGATGTAATGTGGTTGAATGTGCCTTTCATAATTTGGATCTTACGAGCATGTCTTTCAAAGATATACCTATTTTGTAGGCTATAATAGGCGGATTTTTGAAGATGGCTTTCAGCAAAGGCTGATTTTGTATTAAATCCCAGTTTTGCATCTGAATTTTTTTAATCTGCCGCACTGACGGCTGGCATGTTGTGGCAAAAGGCAAGATTTGTCTTCGCGTTTTTTTCTTTTGTAGAAGGGCCGTCTGTCTTGTGGTAAAGCTAACTTCTCATAGTGTTGTTCGTATTGGTTTTTTTAGTGTATCCGCGTGTGATAAGACGCGATTTGAATTTTGAAAGGTTGTCTTCAAACGTTCAGTGTTTCAGAAGAGTTTGTTCTCAGAGGTCGAAGGGCCTCACCTTTAATAAAACCTCGTTTTAAGCCCGGTTGGTGGCACAAGGTGAAATATGTGTATTGAAAAGTTTCAGTCGGTTTGTAATGAGTACAGATGTCAAGGATGGATTCGTTCCTGAATCGATGTCCTTTATAAATAAAGGTGTCGAGGAATGTGGTTTCGTTCTTTGAAATTTCAGCCGTAAATTTGATTGCACGATGAAAATTGTTAGCCTGTTCAATGAACAGGTGAATTTCCCGTTTGTTGGAGTCCCATAGAGAGAAAATGTCGTCAATACAACGTTTCCATTGTCTCGGTTTTGTTTTGCTTTGGCCCATTATTTCTTCTTCTGGCAGTGCAAATGCAACTGCCATTTTGGTACCCATCACGGTACCATATGGGTCTGGAGAAAATCTTTTGCACAGAACAGGAAAGAATTTTCCTGGAGTTTAAGGTCAAGCATGTCTTTTAGATATCGTGACAGAATGGGAGAGTTGTATGCTAGCGAAATACTTTTTGCACTTATTGCTATTTTTATCATCACCAATCAAAACTTCGCTGCTAGATTGAACTCAAGAATTTTTTCAAAGTCAGTTCAACCAATCAATACAACGTTAATGGCAAATCTTTGGTGTTACCGCCAGCTAATTTGAAACTAGAAAGTTATGCTCTTTACGTGCATGTTACTCTCATAGTGCCCATTCAGTAGAAGAAAAGTCCATTTCAGAGTCAAGTTTTGTTGTTTTATCTAATGTTTGATGGTTTAGGAGATCAGTGCGTCGAGCAAACCATATTTCCCTTTTTTTTCTCGGCATCAATTAGACGACCATTAAAAAACGTAATTAACGAATCACACGATCAGTTTTACTCACATCTCAATGAAAGCAAGAACACAAATTTTTGCGTGAGTTTTTGGAGACCGGGACATCATTTACAGCCTATAACATTAATAAACATTTTTAATATGCTGGTCAAGAGCTTCTTTTCATTTACAGCTGTTAATTGTAAGTCACTGAGTACATCATTTGATGTAGACCCATGTGGTACCTTTTCCGTTTGTCGGAATTGTTGCATGCATTTCAAGATCAAGAGAACGTAATTGTCCCCAAATTATGTTCTCTTGAGGAGAAAACTTATCTCGTCTCTATTCATATAATCAAGAAAATATTCGAGAATTTGAAAGCAATAACTCTCTAGAGAGCTGTCACAAGGTCCGAATTGGGAAACAAAATGTGCATGCTAACAAGGTCTGGTCAAGAAAGAAAAGAAAAAAAATATATATATTGGAATATGCACATTGTCCGATCTATAAATCTTCAGACTTCCTTATCCAAATTTGTAACTTGGTTTATGACGCGTGCCTCCATCATTGATCGCACAGGTATAACGTTATCACATTTTCCCGCAATCTGTCGTACTTGAGAGTCTGAGCCAGTAATATATGGAGGTATCATTGGTCAGCATACTCATTGTTTTGGCAGCTGTCATTTGATGCCATCAGAACAACGGTCTGCGGCCAAGGCCACTCCACTTGCGTTTGGCAAGTAAAAAGATACTGATTGATATCGGCGAGCCCGCAAAGTGACATAAATACTGGTCAGAGGATTTTTGCTGCAACAGCTGTCACTTTAACACCTCGATGTAGATGTCTGCTCTAACAAGAATGCACTAGCTCAGTCAAACGATTGCATTGGAGCCTTAATACATTTAAGACCAAACGTTATTACATTTAGGACTTTATTACATTTAGGAAAGTTATTACATTTAGGACGTGAACAGGCCCGGTATGATAGAGTAAATCACTGTGGACGTATTTTACTATTTTGAGACATAATTATCCAGCGAAGCCGATTTTTCACAAAAAAATCCTATCGACGACACTAATAAACATCCAAACACAACATAGCGGTTGAATTTTCATCACCGATAAGTTCTATCCAACTATTCATTTTTGTGCGGCTTACACGAGGCGTGTGACGCCGCACTAAGCCAGCATCTAATCTGATCAGCACTTCGAATCGTTACAAAACAGGACGCGTTTGTTCGAATGTTTTCGACAAATTAAACTCGGTAAAATTCAGTCGATCGTTTGACTTTTGTGAGCGATTTTCTTCACCCTCAGAACCATCTTTTTTGCAGTTTCATGCTTAATGTAAACTACACATGCCACGTTTGATATCAATGATTGCTTAGCTGAAATGCTTGTTTGTGCGGCGTAGATTCCCCTGAGGTCGTAAAAATGTGTTTCATACAAGAGGTAATTCGCAGAAAGAAAGTGCTCAAACTGAGAGTCAGCTGAGCGTACAATAAAATCATCTTCGCTTAACTCCAAAGGCTGACTTGAAGCTCTTACTCAGATGCCCACCCGCCGTTGCCGCGTGCTCACGTTTTCACCCAGTTATAAGCCGCCTGAAACATGCATATTTAGCGCAGTAAGACTTCAGTGTATCAGCAATCATCGGAATAGAAAGAAAATCAATTGAGGTAAAGGTTTGTTCATTCGTGTCCTAAAATGAAATCCCGTATACAAGCGGATTTCGTCCCCAGATGATGCAGACGACAGTTTTAAGGAGAGGCATTCAGGAAGCTCACGTTTGCATTTTCGAAACAATTACCTTTGTCTCCACGCTATCGATAGTTTCAATAAATTCTGAACGCTTATATGGAGATTATTTTGAGTACACACATAAATCACAGATCACGTTCTCTTCTTGTAGCAGTTTTGGGTGTAATTTTGTTTCTGATAGTTTTCAAAACGGCGTGGTCGCATGATTTGTCGGATAGCGTGACATAGTAAGATTACATCTCTAGTAACCATGGATATCTTTGACGTAAGAGGCGTAACTGGGAAAAAGGCGTGTGGCCTAGGGGCCAACCATTTAACTCTTGAGGGGGGTGGGTGATTTTGAAAAAAATTTCCTACGAGCGGTTTTTGGAAGAAAAAATTGCATGCAACCCAAATGTAGCAGAAAAAAATAGCATTTAGAACGGAAAAAATATCCTGCACAGCAGATTGCCAGAAAAAAAATTTCTTGATGACCAGAGGTCACCCACCTCCCCCCCTCAAAAGTTAAATGGTCGGTCCTTTCACAAAGTGTGCAGCAACATTATGGCACGATCGAATTTATTTATTTATTTATTTGTCCACGACAGTCGAGCCCCCATCTCGGGTCAGCCATCTTGCAAACTGTCTTGGACTTAACCGTCTTGAGCAGTTTTTTTTCAAGCGATCGTATCACGAGTTAGTTCTCCTCTGACACAAGTCAACACACCCAGACCCGGCTTGTGTTACAAGTGTAGCTTGTGCAAGAGCTTTTACACTCTTAAAAGGCAACATTTAACTGCTTGAATCTTCGGTACGGGTTGTAATACACTGGAAATGAGTCATTGCACGCTTGCAAGCCAACAACTATCGGTTTGATTTATCGGTGCGGGTTGCACCACTGAGTGTCTGAAAGTGTTTGGAAGTTTCTGAAGCCACCTGAAAGTGCCATAAAGTGAAATAAGTTAGATAATTGTGGAATGCATTCTCCTTGGACAGATGAGAATTCACGCGGAGGCATATTTCAAAACGACAAATGTAAGTATAGGAATCCCGATTGAACAATACTGGTCAAGGATTGGCTCTCATGACAATTTTGTGAAAACAAAGGATATCTTATCA